GACATGTGGGGTGGTCTGCCGACCGAAATTATTCCTGTAGTCGTGTCTGCAAGCGGGTTAATCCCAGCCAGCCTCTCGGGCCATCTGAGGCGACTGGGACTCCGTGACGGACCGCTCCGGGCTCAAATACAGAAGGCGGTGCTCCTCGATATCGCCCGCATCGTCCGCCGGTTTCTTTCCCTTTCCCCTTAACCCTCGGCCGTTTGGTCTCCCCTGCCGAGGGTTTCCATCTGGTTGGGCTTTTATTTATTTATGTAATATTTATTTATTTATGTTAGTATATTAAATATATATTTAAGTATATTTATTTTTACCTTTATATATTTATCCAGCCCAACCAGATGTGATTACTCTATTAATAACCCAATAATAATAATGTGATTACTCTATCAATAACCCAATAATAATAATTAATAATAAACATTTTTAGGCGTAGGGAAGTAACGACCCCATCGCCCGCTGACGTAATGATTATATAACAAAACCGCTACTTCAGCGCAGTCAGTCAGCACCTTGCCAAGAGGTGTTAGTGCCGTGCCTCGGCAATAATTGAAGGTGCAAAGGCCCGCTTGTGCACATGGCCCACCGTGCAACGGCGCCGGGTCTGGGCGTCTCCCGTTAAATGACGCCCACAAAAATGGATGATGGATTTGACTAGAATGCGCAAAGGGCCGCTGCCTGGAGGACGCCAGGGCGAATCTTGAGTTAGCGCTGGACGCGACAGCATGCGAACCACCAGCCAACGAGCGCGAGGTGCTGCACGACCACCTAGCAGCCCCTAGAATCCATCATCCCCACCAGCTGGCTTGGTGTCGGCAGGGTCTTCTCGGGGCCCAGCAATTGGCACCCGCCTCTGGTGGGGCACGCCGCATGCGTTGGACAACTCAAATGAACAGCAACGCATTGCGGGCGTATTTTAGGGCGAAAGGGGGAGAAATTGGAGATTTTGCGTATCGGGTAAGGATGCAACGACTTTTTGCTGAGTTGGAGCCATCTGTAACCGTCACCGAGCAAAACCTGGCAGACCGAGTTCGGTATACCTTGCGCTCAAACACATTTGATGTCACCGAATTCGAACGGCTACGACCGGAGGCTGTTCCTTCATCGAATGAAAATGCTACGGCTGAGGATGCGGCGCCACAACTTGCATAGCCACCGGCAAACATGGATGCCGCCGTGAATACCCTAGTTTTGGTTGATTCAAACGATGATGGAACAGTCGCCCAGGAACTGGAACTGGAGCAAATGAGGAGTATATTGGATGAGGCGATTTTGGAAACGCGCGGTACGCCTCTCGAAAATCGACCGCGAATTCCCCGCACAGCCCTCAGCAAGCGGAATCGGGCTATCGTGAGGGCTCTGAACCCAATGCTGGTGACCTATTTGAAAGCCAGCCGAGACCTTTGCGAGACGGACTCTATTCTCTTTGGCGCCGCACTGGCAGTCTGCCGTATTATAGGCACCAAACTTTCCACGGCTGGACGCACTACTGGACAAAGTAGTGCTATCCCAGCCTGGAGAACAAGAATTGAAGAACGTATTGCAAAGGCTAGGGCCCTCATCGGCAGACTGATATGCTTCAGGTCAGGCAATACCAGACCAATGATTGTGCGCACCGTCAGGATGGCGTTTGCTGGGACAAATGTTAGTTTGTCCCAGCCGGATATAATGCAAAAACTGACGGAGCGCATAGACGACCTGAAGCAGAGAATCGCTGCTTGGGGAAAGCGGATTCGGCTATATACCGAGAGGTCGACACGGTTCAACCAGAATCGTCTCTTCCAGAGGGATCAAAAGAGGCTCTATAAATCATTGGAGCGACCAATGGTAAGTGGAACGGGCCCAGTAGCGAATCAGGCCGACACGGTCGCATTCTGGCGCAGCCTGTGGTCCACAACGAAAAAACGATGTAAACCACAACGAGAGCCCTTGGACGGAAGTTGTGGCGGGTCAGTGTGTGAGTATTACGCTCATGGACCCCGTCATTATAACGCCGGATGACGTAGCTGAGGCGGTTCCGTAGGGCCCCGAACTGGAAAAGTCCGGGGCTTGACGGGCTGCATCACTACTAGCTGAAGGGGTTCATGATGTGTCATGCTATGCTCGCTCGACGGTTTCAAGAGGCTCTCAACCAGAAGTCGCTCCCGAGCCTCTTCACTACTGGGATCACTCATTTGGTTCCTAAAGATCAGGGTGCCACAGACCCGAGCCCAAGAATACCGTCCCATCACGTGTCTAGCGACCATATACAAGACACTAACATCCATTTTGAGCGCGAGAATCACTCGTCACCTGGACTCAAATCAGGTGATGTCGCGCGCTCAAAATGGATGTCGAGGCGGCGGTCGTGGAACCAAGGAATCACGCCTCATTGACGCGGTAATTGGCAAAGTGGTGAAACGCAACCGTCGGAACTTCTCCGCCGCCTGGATAGATTACAGAAAGGCATTTGACTCGGTGACCCATACATGGCTAAAGAGGGTCCTCGAGCTGTACAAGATTGACTGTAGTTCAAAGCTTTAAAAATGCAAAAAAATTGTAATTTAAATTTATGTCGATAGACAATACTTGTTCGTGTGAATCAAATGCAGTGAAGATCCTAAAGAAACTGTATCCGCGTCTAGTCGTCACTGCCGGTAAATACAGGGCTCGTACTTTTCTCGCTCAAAGGCTAAATATAGCCATTGGAGGAAACGCAGTCAGCGTTTTTGTCACTATACTGCACTATATGATATTAAAAATAATAATGTGATTACGGACAGGACTATTCTTGCGAATAAGCCTGATTTGTGCTAATGGATCGGGCACAGTCAAGGATAGTTTTGGTCGAAATTACCATTCCGTATGACGAGAACCTCGTGAAAGCCGAAACAGACAAACAATCAAAATATCTGGACCTGGCTCACGAGGTGACCGACATGTGGGGTGGTCCGCCGACCGAAATTATTCCTGTAGTCGTGTCTGCAAGCGGATTAATCCCAGCCAGCCTCTCGGGCCATCTGAAGCGACTGGGACTCCGTGACGGACCGCTCCGGGCTCAAATGCAGAAGGCGGTGCTCCCCGATACCGCCCGCATCGTCCGCCGGTTTCTTTCCCTTTCCCATTAACCCTCGGCCGTTTGGTCTCCCCTGCCGAGGGCTTCCATCTGGTTGGGCTTTTATTTATTTATGTAATATTTATTTATTTATGTTAGTATATTACTTACTTACTTACTTACTTACTTATCTTCACGCACAATCCCTAACGGGGTAGCCAGAGAGAACAGATCGCCAAGTGTCACGATCCTTACATACTTCTTTCGCTTCCTTCAGGTTCATTAACTTCTTCATACATGCACGTCTAGGTATCCGAGTACTCTTGACCCTCCCCTCTTCGAGCAATTTGCTCACATGGTCTTCGAAAGTTAGTCTCGGTCTACCTCGACACCTTTTAATATTTACTTTCGCTCTATATATTTTCTTCACCATTCGGTCTTCACTCATTCGTTCAACGTGCCCAAACCATTGGAGTACGCCCCTATCAATTTTTGTGATAAGGTCATCTTTCAATCCTGCCATATTGCGAATCTCTTCGTTTCGCTTTCGGTCGGCTAAGGTAACGCCACACATATTACGAAGAGATCGCATCTCCACTGCATTCAACTTGCTTTTATGCTTCTTCTGGCATACCAGGTTTCCGCTGCCATATAACAAAGTCGGTACCAACACTGCATTATGTATTGCAAGGCGTGCACTCTTCACTACGCCTTGCCTTTTTACTAATGCATTCAGGGCACCATTGACTTTGTTTCCGGCAGCGACACGCCTATCCACATCTAAATCACATCTTCCATCCCGGCTGAAAGCACTCCCAAGTATAGAATTTCATTTACCTGTTCTAGACATGTTAGTATATTAAATATATATTTAAGTATATTTATTTTTCCCTTTATATATTTATCCAGCCCAACCAGATGTGATTATTCTATTAATCACCCAATAATAATAATGTGATTACTCTATCAATAACCCAATAATAATAATTAATAATAAACATTTTTAGGCGTAGGGAAGTGACGACCCCATCGCCCGCTGACGTAATGATTATGTAACAAAACCGCTACTTCAGCGCAGTCAGTCAGCACCTTGCCAAGAGGTGTTAGTGCCGTGCCTCGGCAATAATTGAAGGTGCAAAGGCCCGCTTGTGCACATGGCCCACCGTGCAACGGCGCCGGGTCTGGGCGTCTCCCGTTAAATGACGCCCACAAAAATGGATGATGGATTTGACTAGAATGCGCAAAGGGCCGCTGCCTGGAGGACGCCAGGGCGAATCTGGAGCTAGCGCTGGACGCGACAGCATGCGAACCACCAGCCAACGAGCGCGAGGTGCTGCACGACCACCCAGCAGCCCCTCGAATCCATCATCCCCACCAGCTGGCTTGGAGTCGGCAGGGTCTTCTCGGGGCCCAGCAATTGGCACCCGCCACTGGTGGAGCACGCCACATGCGTTGGACAACTCAAATGAACAGCAACGCATTGCGGGCGTATTTCAGGGCGAAAGGGGGAGAAATTGGAGGTTTTCCGTATCGGGCAAGGATGCATTTATTTATTTATTTATTTATTTCCACTTAATTGCACCATAAAAAAGATTACAAAGGGCGGACTTAATGACATTAGGCATTCTCTCCCAGTCAACCCGGGACGTGTGGAAATTATGTGATATGTGACAAAATAAAATGAACAATAGAGTAAATCTAGGAAAAAACTACTGATAAACTTAAAAACAAACTAATATTATATATACAAATACAATAAACTTATATGCATCGACTTTTTGCTGAGTTGGCGCCATCTGTAACCGTCACCGAGCGAAACCTGGCAGACCGAGTTCGGTATACCTTGCGCTCAAATACATTTGATGTCACCGAACTCGAACGGCTACGACGTGAGGCTGTTCCTTCATCGAATGAAAATGCTAAGGCTGAGGATGCGGCGCCACAACTTGCATAGCCACCGGCAAACATGGATGCCGCCGTGAAAACCCTAGTTTTGGTTGATTCAAACGATGAAGAAACAATCGCCCAGGAACTGGAACTGGAGCAAATGAGGAGTATATTGGATGAGGCGATTTTGGAAACGCGCGGTACGCCTCTCGAAAATCGACCGCGAATTCCCCGCACAGCCCTCAGCAAGCGGAATCGGGCTATCGTGAGGGCTCTGAACCCAATGCTGGTGACCTATTTGAAAGCCAGCCGAGACCTTTGCGAGACGGACTCAATTCTCTTTGGCACCGCACTGGCAGTCTGCCGTATTATAGGCACCAAACTTTCCACGGCTGGACGTACTACTGGACAAAGTAGTGCTATCCCAGCCTGGAGAACAAGAATTGAAGAACGTATTGCAAAGGCTAGGGGCCCTCATCGGCAGACTGATATGCTTCAGGTCAGGCAATATCAGACCAAGGATTGTGCGCACCGTCAGGATGGCGTTTGCTGGGACAAATGTTAGTTTGTCCCAGCCGGATATAATGCAAAAACTGACGGAACGCATAGACGACCGGAAGCAGAGAATCGCTGCTTGGGGAAAGCGGATTCGGCTATATACCGAGAGGTTAACACGGTTCAACCAGAATCGTCTCTTCCAGAGGGATCAAAAGAGGCTCTATAAATCATTGGAGCAACCAATGGTAAGTGGAACGGGCCCAGTAGCAAATCAGGCCGACACGGTCGCATTCTGGCGCAGCCTGTGGTCCACAACGAAAAAACGATGTAAACCACAACGAGAGCCCTTGGACGGAAGTTGTGGCGGGTCAGTGTGTGAGTATTACGCCCATGGACCCCGTCATTATAACACCGGATGACGTAGCTGAGGCGGTCCGTAGGGCCCCGAACTGGAAAAGTCCGGGGCTTGACGGGCTGCATCACTACTGGCTGAAGGGGTTCATGATGTGTCATGCTATGCTCGCTCGACAGTTTCAAGAGGCTCTCAACCAGAAGTCGCTCCCGCTTCCGAAGCCTCTTCACTACTGGGATCACTCACTTGGTTCCTAAAGATCAGGGTGCCACAGACCCGAGCAAATACCGTCCCATCAAGTGTCTACCGACCATATACAAGACACTAACATCCATTTTGAGCGCGAGAATCACTCGTCACCTGGACTCAAATCAGGGGATGTCTAAAGAGGGTCCTCGAGCTGTACAAGATTGACTGTAGCCATGTATGGGGCACCGAGTCGAATGCCTTTCTGTAGTCTTTCCAGGCGGCGTAGAAGTTCCGACGGTTGCGTTTCACCACTTTGCCAAAGACCGCGTCAATGAGAAGTGGTTCCTTGGTCCCACGACCACCGCCCCGACATCCATTTCGAGCGCGTGAAATCACCTGATTTAGCTACAGGTGATTCTCGCTCTCAAAATGGATGTCATTGTCTTATATATGGTGGGTAGACACGTGATGGAGCGGTATTTGCTCGGGTCTATGGGGTCCTGATATTTAAGAACCAAGTAAGTGATCCCAGTAGTGAAGAGGCTCGGGAGCGACATCTGATCGAGAGCCTCTTGAAACTGTCGAGCGAGCACAGCGTGACACACTACGAACCCCTTTAGCCAGTAATGTTGCAGCCCGTCGAGCCCCGGACTTTTCCAGTTCGGTGCCCTACGGACCGCCTCAGCCACGTCTTTCGGCGTTATGGTGACGAGGTCCATAGGCGTAACACTCGCACTCTGGCTCGCCATAACTCCTATATAAGGGCCCTCGCTGTGGTTTACAGGCTCCGACCACAGTCCACGCCAAAAATACGACAGTGTTAGCCTGCTCCGGTCTTGGGCCTGCTCCACATACCTCAGGTCGCTCCAATGATTTATAGAGCCTCTTCTAATCACTCTGGAAGAGACGATTCTGGTTGACCGCCTTGACCTCTGGGTAAATCGTCGAATTCGCTTCCCCCAAGCAGCGATCTTTTTCTTCAGGTCGTCTATGCGTTCCGTTAGTTTCTGCATAATATCCGGCAGGGACAAACTGATATTTGTCCCAGCAAACGACATCCACGGTGCGTACAACTCCCTATTATTACCCGACCTGAAGCTGGTCAGTCTGCCTATAAGGGGCCTTGCCTTTGCGATACGGTCCTCAATTCTTTTTCTACAGGCTGTGATGGCGCTACTTTGTTAAGTAGCGCGTCCAGCCATGGGAATTATAATTACTATTATATGTGGGGTATCTATATAGTTTTCTCATCTGGTTGAGTTCTATAAATATATAACTATAAATTAAAATGAAAAGATAAATATAAATAAATATCAATAAAATAAAATAAATACAAAAATACATAAATAAATAAAAGCCCAACTAGATGGAAGCCCCTCGGCAGGGGAGTCCAAACGGCCGAGGGTTAGGAGGAAAGGGAAAGAAACTGGCGGACGATGCGGGCGGTATCGAGGAGCACCGCCTTCTGCATTTTAGCCCGGAGCGGTCCGTCACGGAGTCCCAGTCGCCTCTGATGACCCTAGAGGCTGACTGTGATTAGCCCATTCGCAGAGACGACTACAGGAATAATTTCGGCCGGCATACCACCCCACATGTCGGTCACCTCGTGAGTCAGGTCCAGGTATTTTGTTCGTTTATCTGTTTCGGCTTTCACGAGGTTCTCGCCATACGGAATGGTAATGTCGACCAAAAAATATCCTTGACTGTGCCCGGTCCATCAGCACAATTCAGACTTATTCGCAAGAATAGTCTTGTCTGTGATGATGACCCGGTCCCAATAGACTCTGGCGCGATCATTTCAGTGCACGGCTTCCGGCAAGTACTTGTTATTCGGCAATTCCCGATCCACAAGACCGTATTTCAGAGCGAGCTCCTGGTGAAGAATTCTGGCTACTAGGTTGTGCCTGTGCAAGTACTCAGAGTTAGAAAGCGCCAACAACCGGAGATGACGTGCCTAAGTGACTCACCGGGATGGTCACAAGCTCGACAGATGTCGACGGTGCCATCCTTTAGGATGTATCTCCGATAGTTGTTGGTCTTAATAACCTGATCCTGTATTGCACAGACAAAACCCTCGGTTTCCCCGAAGAGGTCACCAAAGCGTAGCCAGTGGAGGGAGGCTACTGTGTCTACGAAAGGCTCATGTAGAGCCTTGTAGAACCTCCCGTGAAGCTCCTTCTCCTTCCATACGGTCTGCCGGTCGGAAATGCTCTGCACTGCCGGGTCTTGCCATTGCTTGTTGGCTAAGGATAGAGGGGTAAGTCCTTTATCACAAGAAATGACGTCCTTATAGAATGGATTATCCGATCTTGCCAGAAAGTAATTACGGAGTCTGTACACTTCGCGATTATGCAAGGTGAGTGCGTTCAAGAAGCCGCGCCCACCATACTTTCGCGACAAGTACAGCCTTATTACCGACGATCTCGGATGATGCATCCTATGGGACGTCATGGTAGTGCGGACTTTTCTATCCAGGGCGTTAAGTTCAGTCTGAGTCCACCTGACTATGCCAAAGGTATACATGAGGACAGGCATGACCCAGCCGTTATATGCGTGTGTCTTATTCACACCGGACAAAAAAAGGCTGTTAAGCACTTTGGTCAAGCGTGCATAAAACACGTCGCAAACTGACTGTTTCATACCAGCCTCATCGATATCGATGTTCTGTGATTATTATTTTATTTTATTATTATTATTATTAAATATACTTATTTCAGTTTAGTGAAACGTAATTACGCTATCAAAAAAAGATTAGTCTTTCTCCTAAAAACAAATGGAAATGCCAATTTGACATCACCGCAACCAGCTTTTTTGCCATTAAAACTTTCGTATTTGGGACAATGTATCTAGAATACACCGCCATCACTCACTCAACTTAAAAACATGGGCAAATATATTTTCCATTCGTGTACTGTGCAGCAGCTGTAACGTGTATAATAAAGTGGTGTACACATGAGATTGTAGTGAATGCTATCAGAAATATTGGAGTGATAAAAGCTTAAAGCCGCATGCTCGTTTCGCACGACTGTCCGAATATAAGTGTAATTGTTACATGATGCGTATTGCCAATTTTACTCAATAGCAATGTAAAAATAAGTGGTCTTGTTTGTTCTTAATTTTAGTACATATTAAGATATTATACTACTACCTAACTGTAATACATCCATCCATTCATTACAGTCTATAAAAATTTACAGCTGAACGTAGACATAGTAAAAACAAAATTGTAGGATAACCTCCCGCGCCGCGCGAGACTAAAATGCCTACCTGTTGCAGGGTTATTTTTATAAGTAGTCATAATATTTACAAACATACGAACATATGTATCATATTTATTAATCATTTCCTTACTTTCCTCTCAAAGTATCAATGTTTGTCTAAAACAATCCATACATTACAACAGAAGCCAAAGAACTAAAATAAGAGTAAATTAACACTGAGCATATAGTGTAAGCTCAGATGTAATGTTTAAAATTAATATGATCTGATGTGATATGATAATTAATGTATTTATGAGGTATGTATATATATCTATGTATAGATATAGTAATATAACCAATTAATAAAAAGCTAATTTACTTAAATAAACACATATGTAAAGAAAAAATAAAACGAAAAAAAGACTGCTATCAAAACGTAGTAGTAGTAGTAGTAGTATATACGTTATTGTACACCACACATTTACAACGAATAAATACATTACAGAGAAAACTTAATACATACGTATGTACAATAAGGCGGTCTTATCTTATCGCTAAAGAGCGATCTCTTGCAGACAACCTTTTGGGCTAAGGAGAAACTGGAATTAAGAACAGTAGGAGGTGGTGCGTTTTATGTTACACTTACATTCTAATATCTGAATAAACTAAACTATATTTTGTTAAAATATCACAACAATACATAAAAAATAATAATAAAATAAACATACATATTAATAAATAGGTATATATATATATATATATATACAATTATATACACATACATATATATACATAGATAATAAATAAATACAAAACAAAGAGAAAAAGAAAAACACAGAATAACTATCTGTTGCTAGAATTGGTTATCAATAACCACAAAGTGTTAGGTAATGGTTCTTGACGTCACTTTTGAAACTTTCCAAAGTTTGCGCACGTCGAATTTGGAGTGGGAGTTCATTCCATAACCTTAAGGCTTGGCTCGTAAAAGAATATTTAATAAATTTTGTTCGAAATAAACATGGTTCTAGAATTAGTTCGCCAGCTGACCGAAGAACTCTATCAGGTCGATCGTGTCCAAGAAACTTAAAGTTTTCCTTCAAGTAGCTTGGAGTCAAAGGATTGAACAACACACAGTACAAAAGAGATACAGTTTGCAGATTCCGGCGAAAGCGAATGGGTAAATGTTATTAAAAGTCAACAAAGTCTCAAACAAGGGTGATTGTCCCCGACTCGTCCCGATCTTCCCGACTTAGCAAGTGTCGTTGTGTGCGTGCTGTGGCTCGTGTGTACGAGTCCGTACTGTCACTAGTCAGGCACGCACACATT